GGAGAATCAAATGGAAAAGCAAATAGAAAATGAAATGGAAAGGGGGGTTTAGGGTTCAGGGACCATTGGGATAATATTAGGGTTATATACGGATACCGGAAAAGAAAATGGAAACTACTATAATGGGGTGTTAGAGGGTTTAGGGTCTAGGGTTTACTAGGTTGCTGTTAAGGAACTTAAATTCAGTTACCATACTGGGTGTATACAGTAATGAATTGGGTTTCCGCAATGTAGTAGCTTGAATTACGTTCCTTAACAGCAACCCAGTTGATTTGGGGCAGCGTGACAGCCGGAAAGGTTGCTTTGCTTTGCTGAGCGAGTCCCATACATGGACCATCAAGCTGGTAGTGTAGTAGTGGTATAATAGTAGTGCAATAGTGGTGTAATGGTAGTGTAATAGTAGTATCATAAAAGTATGATAGCAGTAGAAATCCAGCTCAGCTGTCCGTACGTAGTGAGAGCAGCTTCGGTGAACCAATGCTGTTGCTGCTACGATGGTAAGTATTATGTGTCTTTACTACTGCCTCTGTTTTTCCTCCGTGCCGCGCCACACTGCATGCAACTCCCATTGCCACTCCTGCTTTCGACCCTTGTAAGACTAATATTGGCAGCTGGCATTATTCTTGTCATTTGACATGGGCAGAGGCACTGCAGTGGCAGACCTGCGCCTCATAGCGCTCTTCGCACGGGGCTCATTGTGACCTAATATTATCCCAATGGTCCCTAAACCCTAAACCCCTGTTTCCATGTCATTTTCCATTTGCTTTTCCATTTGCTTTTCCATTTGATTCTCCATTATTGGGGGATAACATTCCCTACATAACCCCTATATAGTCCATTTTAGTAGTTTCCATTTTCTTTTCCATTATCCCTAAGCAGGGACCGGGACCCTCTGCAAGGCTTGAGCCAGCAGGGCCACGGCGATTTTCCCGGGCTTTTACTACCTGTCATAAGCAATATATAGGGGTTATATAGGGAATATCATCCCCCAATAATGGAAAAGAAAATGGAAACTACTATAGTATGTTGGGGTTATTTTGGGATAATGGAAAAGAAAATGGAAACTACTAAAATGGACTATATAGGGGGTTATATAGGGAATATCATCCCCCAATAATGGAAAAGAAAATGGAAAAAACAAATGGAAAATTAAATGGAAACAGGGGTTTAGGGTTTAGGGACCATTGGGATAATATTCCTCACACCATCATCGCCAACGTCATCATCAATCGTTTTGCTATCGCAATACTCCTAAAGCTGCGAGCAGGGAATGGTAAGCATCAGTTTGTACAGCAAGCTCCGTCTGGGGGATTTCCTGCTGTGGTGGTTTGTGGTCCGAGGTGGCGAAATGGAAGCTGGATGCCACACGGTCGAAAGCCGCCTTGACTAAGCTCCTGCCTTCCAGGCTCGCCAAGAATCCGCACGGGTTATACGGAGAGAAGCGGGGTTTGCAAGGATGCAAGGATCATGTATGGGAATCCCCTTTGACCCCTAGGTTGTTGCCATGAAGGTTTGAATGGTCACGTTTGCAGGCGTCGGTACGTTATCGCGCATTTCAAGCCGCAGGCACGGCACCAAGAGGGGAGGACATTGATCACTGGGTCCCTTAAAGTATATAGTATATCGGGTTATATGTGTATAATGGAAAAGAGAAGGGAAAGTACTATATAGTGTATTAAATGCTAGCACCCAGAGCTATCGTCAGATTCAACATCCTTACACCCTCGTCAGGGTGATGCGGCCGTGGATGATGCGCTCGACGCGTGAGCAGCAAGAGGGTGTATCGCAAGACTTGTGCTCCACGTGCTGAACTGGCAAGTTTGGCAGGTACATTGCTGAATGCGAGTCCTCGAAAGCCTGGGATACGGCCACGTCCCCAGTGGCTCTGAGCCTGCATTCGACTGGAAGAACTTGCTGAGTTTGGGGTTTGGGGTGTAGGGAATTTTGATTCTGAGATCTTATACCTTGTGAAACCTGGCATTCATTTTGCTGGAGGCCTCTGTGCTGGCAAACGGCTCCGCAAATGGCGTGGGTGGCCAAGCTTTGCGTTCCTGATATGAGCTATATAGTCTAAAGTCCTTAAAAGGGGCTTATAAGACCTCTCCATTTAGGGTTTAGGGTTTAGGCGTTATACAGGGGATCATAATGGTGCCTGCTATAGAGGTTATTAAGGGAGATGCTGTCAGTTTAGACTTTGGCTCATATCTTTAGCGTTTTTCTTCAAAGAAGCCCTCTATCAGCCTCAAAGGGAACACATCTCAAGGTCTTAGAATCCCCACATATTTCTGGGGTGCCTAGAGCAGTCCTGTTTTGACATGCCCCAGAAGACGCGAAGCTGATGTGCACCCGGCTTCTTCCCTTCACAAGCCAAGGTACTCTTTGATGCCAAAAATGGTTGAAAGATAATGAAACATATTATGACATGTCATGCCTCGCCCGGCATGTTAGGGTACAGAATGGGACTCTAGTTTCGGAAGCTATCCGCATGCGCCAAAAGCTCCTGAGGTGAAGCGACCAATCAGTGCCGTCACGGGGCCGGTGACAACGATCGACCTCAGCAAGAGGCTTCCAAGTAGATGGACAAGCATGGTTGCAATGACAGCAATGCTGTCTATATTGGGGGACCCTCAGTGCTACAGGATTTCGAGTGGCAGTGGCAGCGACAGGACGGAGGATTGGTAGCAAAAGAAGAAGAGTCAAAGCAACAGCGGCAATAGCAACATTTTCTGTCAATTGCTAGATGGCTTACTGCACCATGCGTGCAAGCTTCTGGCAGGCCGCGGCCGGCACTGGTCACACCTGCCCGACCGCACCTTGTCTGAATGCCAGTATCATAACCGCCATGACTATCACGACTATCACTTGTTCCTTCAGCGATGCTGTTTGAAAGCGATGCTCTGCAGATCTGCACCCATTGGGGTAATAGTGTTCTAACAGGGTTTAGGGGAGTATATGTTGGGGTGTTATTTGAGTTATATTTCAGAACCAAAGGGTGTTACGACTCTTGAGATTTGGCCATTTTGAGAGTGTCGTCAAGTTGTGATTATGATAGCAAGATGCCTACAAGTAGTAAAGAAACACTGCAAAGACCGTTGAAGGAGAAAGCCGCAGCTCCCAGCTGCCAAAATTGGGTTTTCCGTTTCTGACAGTTCGAGTTGTAACGGAGAACATTCGAAATTGGCTTGTGTGGTGTGTTGAACACTAGGATGGGATGGGATCAAGACTTTGTTTTGGCACTTTTTTTTCCAGTCAGTGTTTGCAATGGAATCCACATCAATAGGTGAGGATATGTTTCCCCAGACACACCGCAAGGAAGAAACCCTAAACCCTCAACCCTAAAGCCACACCTCGTTTGAGGGTGCCACAGAATCTTTACTCCCCTGGGTTCCCCAGAGGTTGGCAAGTCCAAAGCCTTCTCCGACAGCCCTGGCAATGGCTTCCAGGTGCCGGGCATTTCGTATTGAGATAGCATACCGCGTCATATTTTGCCCTGAAGGTGTTGGATGTCCAATAAGGATCCTAGTCTGGATATTTTGGAAATGGATTGACAACTCCAGGCACGAAGACCTCTGATTGCCCTGAAGCTCACTGAAGGCCCTAAGGGAAACTTGTGGCTCGGAATGTTTTTTGTCCCGGCAACGAGTACGCTTCTTGAATGTTCGGGTAGTTGTAGAACGATTTCTTTCGTGTTAAAAGCAAGGCAGTAGAATAGTAGCTATGACTTAATTTGGGTACTTACTTGGACCTGACCTCAAGCCCTAATCCCCAAACCTGATACATTCGAAGCCTGGAGGGGGGGGGACCCTTGCGGGAGACGGCTGTCTGAAGAGCAGAACATGTGGCAACAATGCAGGGACGGGGAGACCAGCCTGTGGGTCATATAGGGATAATGGAGAAGAAACAAATGGGAAAGACAATGAACACTGAGGACGTCTTTGAGATCTCTTGGTCGAGGGTGCTAAGCAGTTGGAACATGGAGCCGGCAAAGCGGTCAAATGTCAGGCAATATCAAGTTGAACAACATCGCTGAGACGAATCACAGCACGTCTGTACAACTCCGGCTTCTGATCCGCAAGTCCTCCCGTACTGATGGCAGCCACACGGAGTGCAGCTGGACCGTTTTCTCATGTAGGAGGCTGACTGAAGTCCGAAGGCTTACCCTCCTTCCCTTACGTAAATCTCTTTCATGAAGAAAGGTATCGTGTCGAATAAGACCAAGGAGGCACGTCCATAGATATCGCTGAGGCTTTAAACATTCTACTGTACGTGTTTTTGAGGTCATCCCTGCATAGAGCTGAGGCTTCGGGGGCCCGTGTTGTCAGAAACCATGAGCCCTAAAAAGATGAACCCTTAACCCTGAACCCTAAGCTTTCAAACCCCCAACCCAAACCCCTAAGCCCGGAAACTCTAAGCCCAAGACCGTGCAAACGTGCAATAGCAGAACAGCTGCTCTCACTTCTAAACTCGCCCCATCAAACTCAAAATCCAGGCCCGCTAAGAATTAATCCCTGCACCCTACCCTAGACCCTAAGCCCCAGACCCCAAAGCCCCAAACCCCCAAACCCTAAACCCTAAACCCCAAACCCGAAATCCCTACATCCTGGCAGGCTGCAGGCCGCTGTTCGAGCAAGGCAAGGGCCTGAGAAGCCAGGGATGACACGGTCCTTCAGAAGGACCCCTAGGGTTCTAGGGTTTTGTGCTTCAGGTTTTTAGATTTTGGGGTTTTTGGGTTTTGGGCTTCAGGGTTTTTGTTTTTTGGGGTTTTGGGGTTTTGAGCTTCAGGTTTTTGGTTTTTGGGATGTAGGATTGCGTTCCCTTTGAAGCGGCGGGATGGACCCTATATATTACACATCTGTATGCACGCACAGATATAGAGAGTGTTTGAGGTTTCCAAGAAGTTTAGCAGCCCCTAAGCATCATGAGAAGGAGCTAGCGCAGGGGCAGTGCAAATCGTAGTGTGTCTAGGACTACTGCCATTGCTGCCATTCTTACAATTACCTTCTTTCCTCGACTATGAGAGCCAATAGCTATGTTTGCTACTGTTCTCTCTATGGCCACTAGTATTATCTGTCTGCAGCATTTAGTTCTGCGCAAGGTTCGATCTGAGGATCAGTTTGTAGATAAGCATGAGTCATAGAGCCCTTCAGGATCCTCTCAAAACGAACCTCCAGACTTATTGGGATCAGTAGGCCTCAATGACCCTCCAGAGCCCCAACATCCCTTGTTTCTGTGGGTTGTGTTAAGAGGGGTTCCCTAATTCTTGGTAATGGGCATCATGGAGATGCCCATGGATTTGCCTGGTTCCTGAATGGCGGTTTCCAAAATTAGGGGTACCTTCTTGGTGGTCCCCAGAATCAGGATTATGACATTTTGGGGTCTACATTGGGATGCCCCTATTTTGGAAGCTATTAAATCTCGCATAAAGAGCACTTTGAATTATCCTTGCGCAATGCTCATGAAAGCCATCTTCCAAACATTTGTTAAAACCATCCATCACGCAGCTACATCGCCGGGAGTTTGATGAAACACTGCAGTCATGTAGAGAAGTCCGAAGTATATACTCCCTGCATTGATGCCGACAACTGAGACCAGCGCCGCTGAGAGCCTTCTCCACGCCCGCCGGAACTGGAATTCCCAGGCCTCACATGGGTTCAAGAGATGCAATGCCAGCAACATGTTTGAGATGAAGGGTATGCCTTTATCTACACATGGTAGTTTCTCCAAACAAGGGACCCCAAAAAATAATAATCCATTGTCAAGGAACAGCAAAATGGTACCCCCCCCCCACAATGTTGAGAAACCCCCAAAGTCAGAGTAATGTCGTTGGGGTCCATAACTCCTAGTAGTGTTACCACTCTTACTAGCATTAGCAGTTTCACTAATGATACGACTATTTCTGTAATTCTGGACTAACTTGCTAAACCCTAAACCCTAAACCCACGATGATTACTACGAGCATGTGGAATCGACTTCCAAGTCAGAGCCCCAGCTTCCTCTCTCTGACTTCGATCACAGGCTTTCTGGGGAGTTCGTGAAGCCTACCTAACCCTCCCAGAGACCCGTAATATTGTGTTTAGGGCGTAGGGTTCAGGGTTAAGGGCTTTTAACCTAAGATATCGGGTCTAAAGGTGATTGTTGATTGTATTTGCTAGAGGATGATCAATCCCCCCAAGAGTAATAGCCCCTAGATATGGAGTGCATAAGGCCTTAATAAATAAATGTACAATAGTCCCTTGTGGTACCCATTACTGGGTGGGGATTGACCCAACCTAAGCCCTAAACCCTAAACCCTAAACTCCTAAACTCCTACACCCTAAACTCTAAAGGCTAATCTCTAAACCCTTAACCTTAAACTCCTAGACCTTAATCCCTAAACCCTAAACCCTAATCTTGAAACCCTGATCCCTAAACCCTAATCTTAAACCCCTAATCCCTAAACCCTAAGAGGTTTCAAGCCCAACCCCAGGCCAGCCTTGCGGGCGCCGCTGACAGTCACTGCCAGGCCGGTAACTCCGGCGGCCTGGCAAGGAATTACAAACTGAGTAGGGTTCAGGGTTTAGGGTTTAGGGTTTAGGGTTGGGGATACTATAGTACCCTATGGTACCCCAATAATGGAGAGTCAAATGGAAAAAATGGCAAATGAAATGGAAACTGGGGCTATATGGGGGCTCATATTGGGGATATAGTATTTATTTTGGGGGACATTATGGTACCCAATATAGAGTAAGATTATATCCTCCTTTCGGGGTATAGTATCTTAAATAAGGAATATAATCTTACTAGGTTCAACCACCAAAAACAACACTACTCAACTTGCTTGCAATACCCATAGTCCCCCTTAAGTAGATATATGATATGGTTTAGGGTTTAGGGGTTTAGGGTTTAGGGTTGACTTGCTTGCAATACCTTAGGTGGACACCCCACCCAGTAATAGTGACTATAAGGGATAATAGGGATCATATTAGGGTCCTCGTATATTCTGATTATACCACTATTACAGGGTGGGGGGTCCTCCTTAGCGATACCCATAATCTCCCTTAAGGAGATGTATGATATGGTTTAGGGTTTAGGGTTCTAGTTCCCCTTAAGTAGATAGACTATGGGGTATATGGGGATCTTGTTACAATATTGGGCAGTTCCACATTCTGTAAACTTAAGGGGGCTGTAAATCTTCTAAACCCTAAATATTGTAGTTAGTAGTTTCCAGTTTTCCACTCCCCTACATATTTCTATATGGCGTTACTATTCGTGTTTGCAATAGAAGCAAGAGGAAGAGGTATGAGGCTTGGGAAACACCTAGCAATAACTTTGAGCGTAGCATGGTAGTGACCCGACCTGCCGGGCACGGGCGTCAGAGGCGGTTGGGGTTTAGGGTTTCGGGCAGCAAATGGCAATAATCATACCACTGGTACCATGGGCAACTACAATGTTGAGACGGTGACTTGTCTAAAGGAAACCCTGTATGCCCCCTATGCAGCCACTTTCAGGGAGACTTTATATGGTAGTTTCCCTAAGTAGGGGACCCTAATATAGACCTCAAACTACTAGGATCCTTATTATAGGGGCCCCCCAAAAAGGGGACCCCTAATCTTGGGAAACCCTAATCCCTATAATCCCCTATATAATCCCAGTTTCCATTTCATTTTCCATGTTCTTTTCCATTTGATTCTCCATTATAGTAGGTACCCCCTAATTTTGGGAANNATCCCTATATTACACCCCTATATTACACCCCGGTATAACCCCTATATAACCCCTAATTTTAGGAAACCCCCATATGAAATTGTAATATAGTAGTTTCCATTTTCTTTTCCATTATCCCTATATAACCCCCAAAAAGTCTGTCCCCAAGGTGGCCTTCCGCCCAGCTTTGGGAGGTGTACGGTCGAGGGCTCAGATGTTTGGAAGCCTTTGTCCTGTGGTTTAAGCGTGCTCCGGGGTCATGATTACTCCGCACGGACAAGCTTCACATAACTATGCTATAGCATATCCCACAACCCCGTTCTGTGCATTCAGGCCCCTAGCTGTTGTGCGTAAACAATGTCTGTTTCAGAAACTTCCAATCGATAAGCCAAGGCCGGCTGTTCGAGCGCCAGTTGTTCGACCTGTGGAAGCCTTGGCATCACAGTATTACAGCAAATGGTACATGATGACATGATGCCAGTGGGAGTAGACGTAGGAGTAGGAATTGGGAGTATGTGGAGGAGGGAGAAGGAGGAGAAGGAGGAGGAGGAGGATGGGAGTGGTAGCAGTTGTACGACGCACCGAAGGGATCAAACACGCGGGTTGCTGTGTAGAAAATTCAGGACCGCGGCAAGACACAGCAAGACGTTTGTGGCAGTTGTTTGCTATCCACATGCCTCAGCATTCCTGATCTCCTCTGCACCAAAAGTTGTGGTGGTGGTAGGTACGGTGGCAGTCTACTACTGGCAAAAAAATACTACTAGTAATGCTAGTCATTGCGACTGTTCGGGGCAGCCTCGTCAAGGTATTTGCGTTTGTGAGCTGCCATCTCCAAATTGCGTTGGTACTCATTGGCAGTGTCTACTTTTCTCTTTCTATTCTTTTACCTTCTAGTCCCCACGATACCCAACGTTCTGGATTCGCTGGAAAGGATGTTCCCCAGCAGTGATCGTTCTAGGGGTTTCTGAGGCTAAGTGTCACGTGTGGAGCGAACCTGTACTACGGGCGTGTGGGAAGCCCTGTCTTGCGCAGTACACATGTCTCATAAGAGCCCCAAGTGAGATTCACCATCCTGGTGGCTTTGAGAATTTTTCATACAGGAGCTGTGAGACCGTCGCTCTGTAGATCATGTTGGCGAGTGGTCACTTCATTTGTTTATGGCATTCCTGTATTTTCTTGAAGGGGATGGGAAGGTTCCCAAAGCCGATCCCGAAAGCCTGAAGAGTTGTTGCATTCGCAGCTTCTTCTGAAAGCTCAGAAGGGCGCGCTTGACAACTCGCTTTTGCTTTTGCTTTGGGAGGTCAATGCTGTTGGATACCGACCAGTTCCGGTTTTGAGGCGGCGTGCAGACGTCATGGTCGCTGCATTCTTTATGGATGTTCATATAGCTGCAACTGCAGCTCTAATCTGGTATTGGTGCTATGGTACTACCATTGCCATGATTGCATGTCAACAGTCTGTTTTTGAACCCTAAACCCTAAACATGATTGCATGTCAACAGTCTGGCTTCTGTTTTTGTGGCTAGATCCCTGTGGAAACAAGGGCTCCGCAGGCTGCAAGCATGTAAGTCTATTTACCCTTACAGAACCCTATATGAGCAATAGTCTAAACTCCTTAAATTGGGGTTATATAGGGGATTATATAGGGGACTACTATAGGGGTTATTAAGGGGGATGCTAGGAGTTTAGACAGTAGCTCATATAACTCCATATAACTCCAGATGCTTCTGCATCTTCCTGCAAAAGCCCTTTATGACCCTATGGATCCTTCCACCTGACCTTTTTGCAGGTACTGACAAGGTGTTTTGCAGCTGCTGGTCTGCGGCCCTCCACAAAGGACATCTCACAGAGCCGGATGGCCAGCCCAAGACATCAAAAGAAGTGGCGCAGGCTTCAACACCTACATGGGGGTTTCCCAAAATTATTCTGGTGATCCCCATAGTACGGATTATAGCATTTTGGAGTTTATATTTGGTTCCCTTTTTTGAGGAAGCTGTCACATTTGGAAGGATGGTCCTCGTCCACGTCGCACTTTGAAGAGCAGATACATTCTAGTCCTGGGTATGAGAACCTGGACTGCACAGTTCAAAATTGGATTGGGTTCTTGTATGCGCGACAATCCCATTCTGATTGCTGTCAGTAGGGTCTTTTCAGCGAGTGCTCCCGCGATTGATGTGAGCTTGAGTCATTGCGACCGCCAAGAGGGATAGGAGAAGAAGCGGCTGGATTGGAAGACTGCGTTGCTTGGCGCTTGCATGCAATGATTGCGGAAGACACCATGTCTCATGGCGCGTGTTGGTTCCTCAATTCAGTTGATGTCTTGATGTGCTGCACGGACTTTCGGAAGAAGTGTAGTGAACTCTGAAACTAGCCGATATGAATGGCTACATTGAGGCTGCCGATCTCCTGCAGACCTGACTAGTGTGTTGCAATCACGCGGTTCTCCTCATGCACAAAAGTCATCAGGTTGCTATGTAGGCCCATTTCTGTCCAAACTTTCAAACTTGTGTGTTTGCGTCCTTCCACTCGCGCATGCAGCATGCGGTATGCTGCCCCGGCATCCAGCCCAGAGTTACAGCATCATTTGCGGTTCAGAAAGACACGTTCCTTTCTGGAGGTTGCGTGTGCTGCTGGTTCGCAGTGAGCAGCTCTCCATCCGCACTGGTGGCGTTGGGGTCGCCGCACCCGAGCGTAGTGGCGTCCAGTTGTTGATGGAGATCAGGTGATCACGCGAGTAAAAGCGCTTTTGTAGAGCAGGGCATGCCAGTGCATGCAGCAAGGTGCAGGCTGGAGCCATGTTTCCCGGCAGCAGCGCTGCTTTAGATAATGATGGCATGGCCGGAGCCTGCAATCCCAGGCACCCTCGTGCATGACGTGTTTGTGAAATCCTGGATGATGTTGGCCATGCCGGCATTGATAGCTTGGCTGCCATGCCAAATTCTAACATTATACACAAGGAGATCGGCAGAGTCGCCGGGGCCATGTTGCTGGATGTTTGGCGTTGTTGTACATTTTGGTGCAGCCCCTACCATCCATGCCGAACGGGGGCCACCAGAGGTTGATTATCCATCACTCCTTACATGAGTGTTGAGGATCCGGCCCACGACCGAGGCCATCGCGGCGAGCTTTAGTGTCCTGCAAGCCAACGCTGGGTGAATCCTACTCGACCAATTCCGCTTGACCTGATGTTGCCTTCTGCATCTTGCTAATCTTGTTCCACGCCGCACTGCAGCATTGCGCTTTGCCCGTTGTTGTGAATAGATCTCGTATAAGGCATCGTCTACCAGTCTACCAGTTGACCCACAACTTGATGATGACCAGCTCAGGTATTGGTTCCGATGTTCAAATTTATGCAGTGGAAGACATGCGTACGCCCAATGGCCATGCGAGCGTTGGTGGTAGGGGATGTCTTTAGGCGGCTGGTGGCGCACGCTCGCAACAGAAATTCGAGACTGCTTGCCTCCCATTTCAGTTCTGCCTCGGCACTCGGGCCGACACCGACATTGCTGATACCCTCTAGAAGGTGCGACGTGTTGCCACTGAGCTCGATCCTGGAGCCACTGTGCTCTTGGTAGACACTGCCGTCGGCTCGTATGATCATGTCTCGCGCCAGGTCATGCTGGAAGGATTGCGGTCGCGCCCACAGCTCCCCCCATGCTGCCGTTCGTCAAATTGCTTTACACCGCCAGAAGCACATACGTGTGGACGGATGATGCGAGCAATGACCATCTAGTATAACAGGGCAAGAGAAGAACAAGGGGGTCCTTTGATGCCTGCATTGTATTCACTCAACACGTGGCCCTCCAGGCTTCAGTCTGTTCTATGATGGCATTTGCCTCGTTTCCAGCCTAGAGCGCGGCGTGCTGGTCCTTTACGATGCTCTGAGCAGTGTCCCCTAGTAACATGCTCGGGTGCAACTCCACAAAGCAAAGTGGCAGGTTTGGAACGCTGCCGGCAAGGAGCCGCCTGGCATCGCTGACGGCCAACCCGTCAATGCATGACTATCCTGGGCGCCACGTTTGGCAGTGAAAAGTTTGTCGAAAAAAGTTGTCCAGCGCGGAGTTCGCGCAGAGCGGGGCGTGCACGACATGTTCTTCAGCTGCATCCCCACCCTCCGTTTTGCTTCGCATGCTGCCGCCCGGTGCCACGGTTGCTTACGCAAAGGAGCATGATGAGGCAGTTGCGAGGCGGTCGTCCGCCCTTCTGCGGATGCACAGCAATTACCATCCACACCCACTTGTGCTTTGGTGGCGTGCTTCCCGTGCCGAATGGGTGTGATGCGCTTGCCATTAGCCGCCAAGTTGCGCTAGTTGCTGACAGACTGGTGCAAGCCCTTCTCTTGACTGGGCATGTTGAGGGAGCCAGCGCCGACACCTAATGACCGACACGTAATGACAGGGATGAGTTGTCGCGAGGTTGGCGGCAGCGTATGACCACCACTGCACCACGTCTCGACCACGCAGCCACGCACTGTGCTTCCTATTTGTGCTGACGTCATCATCCTGTCCGCGCGGTGCTGCTCTTGAGCTGCCTCCGGTTGCCGTTGCCTTTGGCGCATTTTGGCGCCCCGCCGCGTGTTTCACACGCGCAAGATCTGACCTCAAATGATTTTGCACGCCATTTAGCCAGCATTTGTTTTGCCGATGGCGGTGCCGATGATATTTCAGATGCAGCGAATCTTTTTTCTCGCGCATCTGCATTCATTCACCACATCATTTGCTAAATGTGAATTGAAACTCGCGATTCACCAACTGCACGGCCGTGGGCCCCAAGGGCTTCGGGGCCCGCCATCAAAGGGACTGTGGCCTCGGCCCACCAAAACCAGCAAGGCATTCTTGTTCTCAGCGCGCTGATGGGGAGGGTTTTGTGCAGCAAAAATTGCGCAGCAAACGCGAGGTGCAGGACGAGCTGCTCCGAAACCTGCTGGCCGTGTGGTTTTTGATGTTTTGTGCGGCTGTCCTCGAGCCAACTACTTCCTGCGCATGCGGGGCATTGCAGAAGGGCATGTTCCAATTGCGATGACGAGTGGAACGCCCATCGGCAAAAACATGGTGCCCACACCGGGCAAGTGCCCAACATCGAGCATGATGAGCATGAGTGTTGTGACCATATACAACAGGATGCAAGCGTGGCACAGGTTGCCAAATCATGTACGGATGCAAGCTTTCCGTAGCTTCTTGCAAACCGTGAACGTAGTTTGCACGAAGCTTGTCCAATAAGATTTGGTGGGCATGTCCCAACCACCGCCTGACCAACCTTTGTGCACATCCAGAATGAAAACCCCAATCCGCAGGATGCGGCACACCTGCAGCCCCAAATTCGTTTGCAATGGATGTAACCCATGCCAAGGGTTCTTGGGAGGCTAGACGCGCAAGGTGCCCTGCCAAACATGCACGGGGCAAACTGAGGAGACGGGCCCACAGGC